GTGGAGAACCACTGCTTTAAGGCTAGAGGGAAAACTGAGAGGAGGTTCCAGAGTCAGAATTCCACGATTCTTTCATCAGGCCTTTTTTCTGACGTTTCAATAACCTGTCTTTTAACCTGTGGGATGGAGGTGAACAAAGCATAAAACAAATGTTCAACTGAGAAAACCCATTATACATTTGTATTTTATTTTAGACCTACTAAGCTTTACATTTTCATTGCATTTTCCAAATTAACTCCTTTTCTCATGTGTTGCTTTCTTAGATTTTCCATTATCAGTCCTTCCAGTACCCAAGCACCGCGGGCACATTTCGAGACCGGGTTTCCTGGGTTGGAGACGTATACAAAGGGGATGCCTCCATAAGCATTAGCAACCCCACTGTACAGGACAACGGGACCTTCAGCTGTGCTGTGAAGAACCCCCCAGATGTGCACCATAATATTCCCACGACGGAGCTAATAGTCACAGAAAGGGGTAAGCCAACCGCCACCAACCTTATTCTGCTTGGTGACAACTGTGGTGCTTTCTGGAGACACTAGTGGTAGGCAAAGCCACCCATCTTCATAAAGCCAGTTGTTCTTTGGAGCATTCTGCCCTCCTGAATTGTCTATTAGGATACATTTTTTAATCTTTATTCTGCAAACTGAAGTTTTTCTTCAAATATTGTCATAGTTTCTCCATTTTCCTTTTTTTTTTTTAGATTTCAGGTGCCCAGAGGTCTTGTGGAAATGTATGACAAGTCCTTGAATGAGTGGAGGGTTGTCATCTCTGAAGTAGAAATCATTCTGGTTTCCCCAGTATGTTCACACCCTCAGTAATGAGGCAGTGTTCTTGTCTGTGTTTTGAAAGTGATGGAGGCAGCACATTTCTTTTATGTTGCAGAGACCAGCAGTTTCCTTTTAGTAAAACAGAAGGAGTGCAGGTTAAGGACTGACCTTTTTTATCTGCGTTATTCCTGGTGATTATTGAGTGGTCATTTTAGTCCTTAGTTGGATTTGAACCAAAGACTTCGAGATATGGGACTACATTATGTGTTTTTTTAAGACAATAGCTCATATCTTTCAGAGACATGAGCACATTTATACTGGTGGTGGGAGTAGAAACTGATACTGTTTCTCTGGGAGACAGTTGGTAGTGTGCATCAGAGGCCTTAAAAGTATACACCCTTTAATCTAGAATTCTATTTTAAAAATGTATCTTAAAGAAATAGAGCTAAACATGAAGATTTATGTACAAGGATGATCATACTATAATTCATGAGTTCAGAGAATTGGAGATGACTTGAATGTTCAGCATCAGAGGACTGAGTCATTAAACTACTCAATGTGATAGAATACTATGCAGCCTTTAAAAAGGTCACACCTGGAAGGAACTTTTAATGACATGGAAAGTAATCATCACATAGTAAGTAAAATAGATTAGGAATAATATGTAAAATATGATTCATACTTTTAAAAATATTCACTGTCCTCCGTACTCGCAGACCCATGTGCATGTATGCTCAGGAGGGGGCTGAATGGGTAGATGCTACAGTGTTAACCCTAGGGAGTAGGATTGTGGGTAAATTTTTATTTGTGTGTGAGTATTTTCTACCTTTTCTGCATCGAATTTACTCCTTTTGTAACGAGAAGAAATGCAAGTGCAGACGTGAAACCTGCCCCGTGAGGGAAGCGTTTCTGCACTCCCCCTCACCGCCTTTCCCTCCAGGGTTCGGCACCATGCTCTCCTCGGTGGCCCTTCTGTCCATTCTCGTCTTCGTCCCCTCGGCCGTGGTGGCGGTGCTGCTGCTGGTGAGGATGGGGAGGAAGTCTGCGGGGCTGAAGAGGAGGAGCAAGTCCGGCTATAAGAAGTCGTCTATTGAGGTTTCAGATGAGTAAGTCCAGCTGGAGCCCTGACACTGGTCCCGGTTCGCTCTGGTCCCCTCCCCGAGGGTGGGCCAGCCCCTGCCTCGGTGCCTTTCTCACTCCCAGGCTGAGCTTGGCCCTGCTGGTGAAGTTGCCTTTGAAGGGAGTAGTTCTGCTGAGCAGTCCTAGGGAGGTTCAATGTAAAACCTGTGGGTGTTAACTTGGAGACAGATGAAGGAGCTGATAGTACGGTCCTAGTTTCCTGCTTTGGAAATAAGATTGTACGATTCTTTGGCTCTGACTATAAATTCCCAAGTGGGTACTTCCTTCCTTCAAAATGAGCAGGAAACTCCAACAGGGCACGTTGTTTCCCACCGTCTCCTCACTCGCTCCACGTTCCAGCTGCAGTGAGCCCATTTTCTTTCAGCATGCGGTGCCCATCCAGGTCACCCCCGTCTCCGACCACACCCTTCTCTCACCTGGAATCCCCTCCCTCTTTCCCACTTTGCCTGGATACTCTTCCTATCCTCCAAGCCCCAGTGGAAATGTCTCCTCTTGCGTTTTCCTGATCCTGTGGGGAGACGAGTCACTCCCTCCTCTTTGCTGCCACAGCAGTTTGAGCTGAATTTCATTCAGATGTTTATCACCTTGTTTTATAATGTGCTTGCTGAGTGCCAGCAGGCCTCTCACCCCCATGGGACTGTGAACTTATCAAGGGCTGTGCATTATTTACCTCTCTATCCCAGCCCAGCCCCTCCAGCATGCTTGGTGCTGAGCCATTTCTGAATGAATGACTATGGGTAGCTCCTACTTACTAAGCACTTACCATGTGCCAGGCACGGTGGTGTGTGTTTTACATGTGTATATTTTATTTACTCCTAATCACTATCCTTAAGCATAGCTGGTAATATTTGCATTTTATAAATGAGGAAACCGGCTCCTGAAACTTAAGTAATTTGCCCAGTCATCCTGCTAATGAGCGGCAGAACTGTATTTAGCACCAGGCCTGTCTGACTTCAGTGCCTGTGCTTCTAACTGCTCTGCTGTTGAGCTCGTGATTGTTTGACTTGGTTTGTCTTCTTTTGCAGCACTGACCAAGAGGAGGACGGTGACTGCATGGCCAGGCTTTGTGTCCGCTGTGCCGAGTGCTTGGTAAGCCTGTGCCATTTCCTCTGTTCCCTGCTCATGAGTCACTTCTTTGCTTACTTATGGGATCCTTTGCCCTCAGAGGCAGCAGAAGGTTATGTCTGCAGGTCCAAAGCATGGTATCAACCAAGGTCTTTTTGGTTTCAGGGGACCCCCCCCCCCAACTCTTATTGTTATTTCTTGTTTTCTGTCTCCTGGGTACGGAGTAGTGACGTTAGGTTGGGAAAGGGGACTGGGTAGAACAGTCTCTGCTGACGGACAAAGAACATGCTGAAAGAGGAGTGTCCCCTGCACCTGAGGTCATACTAGGAGACTTTGGCTGGATCCAGGGCCCTGAATTGAACTTTTCTGCATGCCCTCGGTTTTTTTCTCTTCTTCTTCAATACATGGCTTTTATTGCATCTTTAAAATATTGCAGATAAGTCTGAGGAATCACCTGACATCTTGCTGATTCCATAGCTGGGCAACTTTGATCTCATTCATTAGCCTGATGAACTGTTCCTTTTTCAGAAACATAGTACTGTCCAAAATGTTCCAATAGCCTTGTTTTGACTGTGTGGCTTGCTGCATCAAAGCAGCTGAATTTAATACAAGTTCAATGGCATTTCCTTCAAGAATCAACTCATCTTTCTGGACTTGAGATACTGAACAAGCAATGTGTAACCTCATCCAAGCCCTGGGGATGCATTTTTTGCCCAAGAAATTTCTGTCAGAAATCTCTGTCAACAAGAGAATGATTCTCCTGAACAATGACATTGATGGGGAAGTGAGTGTACACAGACCTCATGTTGGAAGGGAAGCCCAGTGTGACACCCTTGGTCACATTCTGAACATCACTGCATGTGGTGCGAATGGTGGTCATTTCCTTTCTATTCCCCCACCATTTGTCCACCCAGAGCCGCCTCTTTTGTTTCCAAGGAGACTGAGCTCTACATTGATGTGACTGAAGTCCTCCGCAGGTGCCTCTGGGGCCCTTCGCAGTAACTGTGCGTCCTTTCAGAGTGATGTCCATGTTTTCTGGGATGTTGACAGTCCGACTGCTGAGAATGGTCTTCATCCTCATAGTGGATGTGGCTCAGTTTTGTTTTTTTCCAGGGAATAGAGTGATGTAACTTTTTAGGTCTCTTGATGGCGTTTTCAATAAGAGATACTCAGGTTGGAAGGCCTGAGTTTTGATTTAAATTTCAAAAGGCTCCCATCCCTCCCCTTTTGAGCACCTGCTTCAACTGGTAGGCTTCTGTGGCTATCCCAGGGTCCCAGGAAGAAGAAAGACTGTTGTGGTGCAGTTGGACACAGGTCAGAAGTCACTTATGATCTAGTATGAAGCATGGCTGCCATTTCCAGGTTTAAACTTGGGCCCTCTTTGTATTTATTGCCAAGCTCAGCACCTATCCAGATGACCGCAGCCTGATTGCTCATTGCAGTGCTCTTTGTTTTCTTCCTCGATTGCACTTGAGTACAATAGGTAAGACAGGAGGAGGTCGACAGTGCCAGGGGAGAGGGTCTAATACCAACCCTTTAGGGTTTGGATGTTTTGATAACACAAAATAAGTTAATGTCTATAATATTATTACCCACATTTCAGGTATTAATTCATTCAACAGTTATTTATTGAACATCTGACATGTGACAGATATGATTCTAGGTACTTAGGAAATAGCAGTGAGCAAAACTGACAGAAATCTCTGCTGTTAAAGAACTTGCATTCCTTTTTTTTTTTTTTTACTTTAAATAATTTTTTAATTTTTAATCACAGTTGACATACAATATTATATTAGTTTCAGGTGTACAACCCAGTGATTAGATATTATATCACTTACTAAGTAATCATGCCAATAAATTTCCACCCATCTGACACCATACAGTTATTAGAACATTATTGACCATATTCCCTGTGCTGTACTTTATGTCCACGACTAATCTGTAACAACCGATTTGTACTTCTTAATCCCTTCACTTTTTTCTTCATTCCCCCAAACCCCTTCCCATGTGGCAACCATTAGAATGTTCTCTGTATCTATCAGTCTGTTTCTGTTCTTTTTTATTTTGTTTTTAAATTCAGTTGTTGATATATATTTATTGCAATTTTATTCTTCTGTGTGTGTGTGTTAATCTTCACCCAAGGATATTTTTTCTATTGATTTTTTTTTTTTTTTTTTTTTTAATTAGAGGGTGGGAAGGAGGGGGAGAGGGAAAGAGAGAGAATAGGGAGGAAGAGAGAGGGAGAGGGTTGAGAATGGAACCTGCAACCCTTCGGTGCATCGGCCGACTCTCTAACCACTGACCCACACCAGCCCAGGCAGTGTGGGCCTCTTTGGGTTCATTTTGTGTGGGACTTGCTGTGCTTCCTGGACTTGTATGTGTATTTTCTTCACCAGATTAGGGAAATTTTCTGTCATTATCTTTTTAAATAGGCTTTCAAGTCCATGCTTGCTCTCTTCTCCTTCTGGTATCTCCATGATGTGAATGTTGGTAAGCTTGATGTCCCAGAAGCTCCTACCCTGTCCTCATTTTTTTGGATTCTTTTTTCTTTTTGCTGTTCTGATTGGGTGTTTTCTGCTTCCTTATCTCCCAAACCTCTGATTTGATCCTCTGCTTCATTACTACACTGTTGATTCCCTGTAATGTAGTCTTCATTTCAGTTAATGTATTATTTATTTCCGACAGGTTATTTTTTATGTTTTCTAGTTCCATTTTTATGTTTCTTGTCTCTTTGTTGAAGTTCAAAGTTCCTCTGCTCTTCCCCTAAGTTCATTGAGCATCCTTTTAACCAGTGTTTTGAACTCTGCATCTAGTAGGTTACTTGCCTCCGTTTTGTTTTGTTTGTTTCCTGGAGTTTTGTTCTATTCTTTCATTTGGGACATGTTTCTTTGTATCCTCATTTTGGCAGCCTCCCTGTGCTTGTTTCTATGTATTAGGTAGAGCTGCTACATCTCCTGCGCTTGGTAAAGTGGCCTAATGTAATAGGTGTCCTGTAGGTTCCAGTGACACAGCCTCCCTGTTCACCTGAGCTGGGCACTCCAGGTGACCCCCCTGTGTGGGCTGTGTGCATCCTCCAGTTGTAGTTGAGCCTTAATTGCTGTTGGCATGTCAGTGGGAGGGATTTATTCCTAGGCCAGTTGGCTGCAAGGATGGCTTTGACCACCAACCTTGGAGATTCAGCTGTGCTGGGGCCTACTCCACAGAACAGGACTTACTTTAGCAGGACTCTGGTGCCTGATGAGTTCCCCCCTTGAGTATGTTACTTGTGGAGGTGGTTGGGTGGTGCTTTAGTGTTGTCTGAAGCTGCCTACTGGGTGCACTGGCTCTGGGGCCTCCCAGCATGTGCAGGCCAACGTCAGCCACTGTCTGTTGTCTGCCTGGCTCCACCTGGTAGGAACTATAAAGTGATCTGCTGATGGCTGCTGCTTGAACTGGGCTTGGAGGTGCCCAGGAGAGACCAAGCTGCAAACCAAGGCCAGCTGCCACTAGTGCTGGGCCTGGGACCATCTAGCGAGATGTACAGGGCATGCTGAAGACAGATGCTGCTTGTTTGAGAAATTTTAGGAAAGTCTGAAGCATGAGCCAAGATAGACTGTTTGTGTGGAAAAGCCACTGGACACAGCTTGGGTGGGCCTGCAAGCTGGATGGGGCAGGACCTCGGAATCACCAGGGCTGGGCAAACATTGTGAGTCAGGTTGATAGAGACTCAGATATGTCACCCACCTGCTGGCTCTATGGGGTCAGGGGAGTCTCAGAAAAAGAACAGTGTCCTCTCTCAACACTTTTGTCTGGGCAAAAGCTGCCCCTCCAGCTCTCACCCTGATGCCAGACAATTTAGTTCCTCCTAGTATGTTCCTGGTGCCTTTCGAGCTGGTGCCCCAGTGCTGGAGCTGAGAAAGAGTGTGTCTGAGTAAACCTGTGTGTGGGCCCTTTTAGAGAAATGCCTGGAACTGCTGGTCTTTACAGCCGAAAGTTATGGAGACTTCTCTTCCTGGCACTGGAATTCTGGACTGGGGTGTGGGGCTGGGACCCCTCCACAGCTGAGACATCCCTCCCAATTTTTATCTGCCATACTTGGGTGTGGGACCAGCCCGTTTTGTGTCTCCACTCCTTCTACCAGTCTCAGTGTGGCTTCTTCTGTATATCCTTAGTTATAGGACTTCTGTTCTCAATCATAGTTGTTCTGTAGTTTAGTTGTATTTTTGATGTGGTTGTGGGAGGAGGCGAGCACTGAGTTTGTCTACACCAACAACTTGACTGCAGAACTTACCTTCTTTGCAGCCTGGAAAACTCACCTCCAACACACAACTGAAATGTCACCTACTCTTAATTAGGGGTACAAAAAGTAACTAAATTAAAAAAAAGTATATCATATGCTGCTTAATGCTATAGAGAAAAATAAAATAGGAAAGGGAGATGTGATGGATGGATACAGGGTATGATATTAAATAAGATGGTTGGGGGTATCCCTCGTTGAAATGGTATTTGAGCAAACACCTAAAAGAAGTAGATAGTGAGCCATATGGCTAATGTGGAGCAGCGTTTCAGGCAGAGGAAAGAGTAGGTGCAAAGTCCCTGAAGAGGGGCCATGATTGGCATGTTCTGGGAACAGCGTGAAAGCAGTGTGGTGCGAATCAGTGAGTAAGATCGAAAATAGTACAGGGGTAGGAGGGCAAACGCAGGTTTAAGTATCCACTTTTGTTGGTCGTCATTTAAATTACCAGCCATCATTACCTAACAGATAAATCATAAGTGAGAATACAAAATAACAACAATAATAATAAGACAAATAATAAATAATCATACAAGAATAAAGTCTGTTTAACACTTGTTAAACATCCAAGTGGAAATGTGGAGCAGGCAGTTGGTTATGTGGGTGTGGAGTTCAGAAGCGAGGCCTAGACTGATGATATAACTTTAGGAGTCATTAGCAGACAGACTGGTAGAGCTGCTTCCAACCTGGAGATGAGTATAAGGTAGAGAGGAGGTCAGAGGACTGAGCCCTGGAGTTCTGCAAGGTTGGTAGACTGGGGAGGTGAGGAGGAATTAGCAAGGAGGCTGGAAAGGACTGCCCAGAGAGGCAGGAGGAAAACCAGGAGAATTTGGTATCCTGGGAGCTGAGTGAAGCAGGTGTTTGAAAAGGGAAAAGAGAGCTATTGTGCCGATTGCTGCTGAGTCGGATGGAGTAAAATAAGCATTGATTTTTGGATGATCTGGTATTGCGGAGGTTATTGGTGACTTCACAAAAGCAGCTTCAGTGGAATAGTGGGCTGAAAGCTGGCCCGGGGATATTTACTGGTGAAACTGGGTGTAAACAACTCTTTCAAGGACTTTTTTGGTGGAGGGATGCATTGAAATAGGGCAGTAGGTGGAGTGAGGTGTATGTCAAGAGTTACTTTTCTTTTTAAGATGGGAGAAATTATAGCACATTTGTATGCGACAGTAGAGGAGCCAGTAGAGAAGGAAAAGTAGGTACTGCAGGAGAGAGGGGAGGATGGCTGAAGTAGGCCCAGGACCTAGTCCACAAGTGAAGATGTTGGCCTTAGATAAGGGCAGGGAGAGTATGTCCGTATGAAGCGTACGGAAGGCCAAGAGGTGGGCCCAGATGCAGGTGAGTAGGTAACTGTGGTGATGGGAGCTTGTGGAAGTTCACTACTGACTGCTTCTCTGCTCCCACGATGGGAGAAAGTAAGGTCATCATCTGAGAATGAAGTTAGGAGGAGATTTTGGAGGTTTGAGGGAAGAGGGAAAGGTATGAAATAGTCATCTAGGAGGATGGGAGAGGGAAGGGACTAGAGAGATGTGGTACGCGTCAGGCTAAAGGGCCCACTGCAGATTGGAAGCAACGAGTGTAAGATTGACTACGAGTGCTTACAGAGATCCAGGCACAGTGCTAAGTGGTTACGTAATTGCCTCATTCAGTTCTCATAGCTGTTCTGTGCAGTAGCAGTAATTTTATTACCCCCACTTTACAGATGAGGAAACTGAGGCTTAGAGATGTAAAATAATTTTACTCAAGGTCACACAGCCAGCAAGGGAATGAAACTCAGAGAGAGGTAGGCTGTAAAACTCCAAGCTATAATCCTGCATGTTCTGCAGCATACAGGCACCTTTTTTGAGTGTTGAGGTTGTAAAAAATATCCACCAAGAAAAGGGGAATGCTTACGGTTTCAAAGCAGAAATTTGCCAGTGGACACCACTTATACTTAGACCATGGGAATTTAGGTGTATTGATCCAGTGCTGCCTCGCTGTTGATGTTGCCCCAAACTGGGTTCCATTAGGGAGTCCTAATGTGTGGCCGTTGGCTAAATTCAGACCCTGGTATTATACTTCATATACATATAGCTACTGTTCTTTCCTCTCCAGGATTCAGACTATGAAGAGACATATTGATGAGAGTCTGCATGATAGAAGAAGAATCGCCTAATGACAGAAAGGATCGCCTTCCACTGGCAGCGAGAGCCTCTCGGGGCAGTGGAGCTGACTGGACAGTGGTGGAGGAGTCTGGGACTCATCAGCAAAGACTTTAGGAACCATTTATTTATTGACGAAATGTTCTTTTTGTATTTATAAACTGTTCAGAAACTTTCAGAAGAGACTCATAACGATGCCTTTAATAACTTATACTCTAATTGAATGAAGGAATTCTTTTCCTGAATAGAAAAATACTTTTTATTTCACCTTTGCTCTTGAATGTATTACATGCTTTCTCCCAGTTATTTGAGGGAGAATCCTAAATGTTGGCCAAACTGTTGATGCCAAAATATTTTATTTTTAATGAGATGGAGCTTGTAGCTTCCTGATGTGTGAGCAGACAAAATGTGTTTTTAGGATATAGGTGTCCTTTGCTTTTTGCTCTGTGAACATTTTCAGCTGTGAGTTAACACACAGCCTATACCTGTTGGCTCAGTGATCTCACCATCAGTTGTGTTGGGTGACGTGGAGTGTACAGCATTCATTTCCTTTGTTGGTCGGATCAGGAGTCTGTGCTTTGACTGGCTTTTTAAAGCATCATCAATTTACAATTAAGAAGAAGGAATGCTGAGGTAGAGGGAGTCCTCTCTTGTCTTGCCGGGTGCAGTTTGTCATTTTACTTTCTTACAGCTGGTTTCCGTTTCCTCCTTGTCTTTTAAGATCAGAGGCAAGAAAAACCCTTCAAAAAGTTTTGTGGACCTGTATAGAATAATTTTACCAGTTATTTACAATGAAATATTCTTTTAATCTGTGTTATTCTTCAGAATGTTTTTGATTTCTAAAAGGCACCAAATATGGGTGAACTGAGGTCTTACAAACTGTTTCTATGTAACATTTGAGATAAGGAAGTGGTGATGTGCATAACCTACCCTTCTCCCTTCTGATCTTGCGAAACCTTATGTCTGCTTCCCCCATTTTTCTACAGAAACCTATAGGAATTTTTATGAGCCATTAAGAAATATGTGAGACTTGTCAGGATGGATTGCCAGTGTGGTCCTCTGCCCTAGTGATGGAGTTCACTTCTCAGTCATGACAGATGAAAATGATCCCTCCTCCCGCCTGTTTTCCACAGGACAGTTCCTTTCCAGACTTCACCAGGTGGCTCAGGAGGTGTCCATAGTATAGCATTACACACTGGATGTTATTAAAAACCACTTTTCTATTTTTTGCCAAGATCCATTTTTAACAAGCTGAGTTGTTGGCTCTGGCTCACAGACTTGCCCCACCCACTTTTGTTAATCAGCCCATAGATTAGAGAGTCTGGTTAGTAAGAGACATCATAATGTACCCCTGGCCATGCAAGGAAGTACAAGTGGCAAGGCAGGACGGGCAGTTTACATTTCCAGTGGTTAAACCTGGCTGTCTTGGGCTACTTGTTGAGTATGTGGTTGCTGAGGGCTGATCTAGTGGGCCCATCTGGCACCATGACAGAGAGGAAGATAGTTTGAGCAATAAGAATAAATAATTTGGGTACTAAGAGATTTGAAGATAGAGATCTGTGAGGCTGCCTTTTTGTGGGTCCTCATTTCTCTTTTAAACAGATGATATTACAGGAACCCAGTTAAAGCCACATCCCATTAAATGGGGAACCATTAAATGAGGTCGATTGTCATTTCCTTTCAGGCATGTTTTGAGGATTACTCCTGTGTGATAGGTTCATCATGCAGGCAAGTGGTGCTGTGTGAACCCTTAGTTGTGTTGCTTTGTAGCCTCGGTCATAGTCTGAAGCAGTCCCTTCCTTTAGAATGAAGGACAGTAGTGGCCTTCACACAAGAGAGCAAGCGGGTAATTCGTCAGCGCCCGGCTCTGTTCGCCTCGCAGCCGCAGGGCTGCTGCCCGTTTCCTTCCTCGTCCCGTCTCTCGGGGCCTGGGCTACAGCGTTTCTCCCAGGAGCGCTGAGCAGTGTTGGGACACCTGCCGTGTGCGGCTGGGAGGACGGTGGAGAATTGTTCTTCGCCGCTGTTTAATACCTTCTAGGTGCTGGTCTTTCTCCTTCTTTCTGATGCTCCCTGAGTTTTTATCACACTACAGAGTCCAGTGTTGTCTAGAAAAGGAATTTAACTCTGAAATCTTCAGAAGGGGTTAAAAGCCTTTCAGAATTTTTCTTTGGCTGCTGAAGTCTTTACTTTTGGTTACATTACTTTATGAGTTTTGTACATTAAGCTCTTAATTCTGTTACCAAGTGTGAGCTTACAAAATGCTCAGTGTTCCCCACGTGGCCTGTTACTATAGGCTTTTTGGGGGACAGCTTAGTTCTCTGCAGCTCCCAAATTAGGCATGGGTGCTTCAAGGGGGACGTGGCATGTTCCTGCCTAAACAACTGGAGGCCACATCCCTACTCTGAATGTTCTGTTGTGTCACTCTGTCACAGTTCCAAAGGGGAGCCGTAGAAAGATCCACAGGGGTGGGTCAGGGCTAGCATTTACTCACACAACTCAAACTGTGCTGCCAGGAGAGGCAGCTCCATCCCTGTGGCCCAGTGCTGTACTGCCAGACTCTTCATTGCTGCGTATTGCTGCGTTTCACTGCGTTCTTTGGTTCTGTGTTTTGTTAGGAGGATATGCACCATTGGGCTGTGTGCACACATTGTAACTCTTGATCTCTTTGCCACATCATGGTTAATAAACATCTCTGCACTCTGGTGTCTATCGACATGTGAGATAAAGACTGTCTTATGAAGGGGGCAGGTTGTGGTTTCCAGCAGCAAGCAGCCATGCGTCTCTAAACTGACCCCGAGCAAGACCTGCATAGACTCGGTGCTGTGCGGGATCCAGCTCACATAGCAAGAGCCGCTTCATAAATTTTTAGGGACTTTTCAAGTCCTCGTTGTTACACTGTTGGAAGCTTGAAATAGGCCGTCTTGGGTGTTTAGGAAAACTGCAGGCTGACCAACACACCACTACTCTAGAGCTACGGACACAGACCTTGAGAAGAGCAAGTCCTCAACTACTTTTCACATGGTATAGGAGAATTTGCAAAAAACAGGTGTGCCCATGTGTAGGTCCAGCCAGTCCAGTCTAGGCTGAAGGTGTGTCCACTGAGAACACTTACTTTGAAGTGGTGACTTAAAAGCAAAAGATCCCTTGAAGTGAAGAAGCCTTGAGTTCTTATCTAGGATACTCAAGTCACCCATGGGCTTCTCGGGGGAACAAAGTGCAGCCTGTGTTCTAAAAGGTTGCTCTCCCGTCAGAAAGTGGACGTGTTCGGTGTGAGTTGGAGACTGGGCAGGCACAGCTTTGGAAGCATTTGGGGGATGCCTGCCTCTGTTGCACCTCTGTTGAGAGGGGAAAATAAGAAAGGTTGCTATACTTGAAACACAGGGCACAATGTTTTGTGTTAATCTTAAATGTATTGTATTTTGTCTGCATGAGGCTGATTTCTCTCTCAGCAAATGTTTGCCTGATGCCAGTCAAGATCCCTCTCTCAGAGAGCTTGCAACCTTGCAGGAGAGGGGATATCTGCACAGGTCTGGGGTGTGGGCATCTCCTCAGTAAGTTGAATTTGTTACCTTTTTTACCCTGAAAGTATTAATAAAAATTGGATAATGGGCCAAATGACTAAAAGGAGAACCTGATTTAGAGGTTCCTGTTTATGCCTCTGCAGCCACCTCAGAACTCACGCATTTGGTTTGCTCTGAGCCTGACCTTCTGTGCTAGCGACGTTTCTTCAGTCAGACTTGAGAACTGCAGCTGTGGGCGAGCTCGGCGCATCACTTCTCTTGGTGCTCTTCATCTTGGGTAAGCAGCTACTTTGTATTTCCTAAGCAGTGATGTGAGCTTTTGTCTCTCAGATGAAGACATTTCTGAAGGTTTTAGCTGAGTGACAGCCCTTTGGGTTGTGAGGCCTCAATCACAGAACTCTCAAGCTCTGCAGGAGGAGTCATAGCCCAGGGGATGAGAGCAGTTTCCTTTCTGTAGTGGAGAGTAACTTAGTTAAGACCCCCAGAGAAAGGGGGAATAAGGTTTGCTCTTAATAAAAGAGTAGATGATAGGCTTTTAAGTTCAGCTTAATGCTGAAAACCACAAACCTGTGGCTTTAGGTAGAGCTATGACTGATTGTCTTTGGACTTATGGCAAGAGTCTTCCTTCACTCTTTTTCTTCTCAATTCTAGACAGACTAATATTTAACCTTAAGAAGTCAGGAGCGTAAACCTCGCAAGAGAGCTAGGCTGTTGTCCATACTTGTCACAGCTTCTGTGTAGCCCTGGTCTCAGGAAAGACTGATGGGTTAGGCAGTCTGGTCAGAAGGTGAGCAGGAGCAATGACTTTCAAGGCCCCCTTCTGTTACTGGACTGAGACCAGCTTGGAGCAGGTCTGTCTTGGCTGGCCAGTAGTGTGTGGGTTCTTGACTTCATGCAGGAAAGATTTCATGATTCGAATCAAGGTAATTTTGAGAGTACGTTTATTAAAACTGGGGACAGTGAAACAAGGAAGGGCTTAGGGTAGAAGAAGCAACAGAGGTGAGCCTGGGCGGTGCTCTGCTTTGGCCCCCTAGAAATGTTATAGGAAAGAAGGAGCCAAGGTGGGGCTGCTGTTAGCTCACTGGGAAGTCAGACAAAAAGGGGGCCTTGGAGACAGGATCAGGAGAAAGAAAGTAAAAAATTCATGCCTGAGAAAAGGCATGGGCATGCTCCATAGAGAGTCCACGCTGGATCTTTGTTTTTAGGGTTTTTATCTTTGTTCTGTACGCAGGAATCCTAGGGGAGATCTCAAGGGAAGGTCTTAACAGAATATTCATTAGTTTTCCAGGTGTGTCCTTCCATATGTTGATTCATCAAAATGCATGTATAGGGGAGTTTGGGATTATGCTGTGGTCAGTTTCACTGCCTTATTTTTATCTTGGGTCTGCTGGCTCTAATCGGGTTGTTTTGTTATTTGTTCGCCTGTCTTTATCAGTCCTTGGATTTGGCTGCCACAAATAGCACTAACTGGATCTTTGTTACCTGTCTCCCTGACCAGGGTGATTTGAGCTATGCATTCTCTGGTTAGGGAGGAGGAGTATAAACCATTTGCTCTCAAGTGACCTTGTTGGGAAAGATAAAGTCTTGCGATCACTAGCTGGCTATAAATTGTTCAAATTGTTTGGCCTTGTTTAATTTTCTTGTCTCAGTTTCCCCATTCCACTTGCCCAGGGATTTTCCCAGCTTGTTACTCTCCTGCCTCACTTCTAGTAGAGGGTTGACTGATGTACCCAACACGGTTACAAGAAGCTTTGTGACCTATCAGCCTGCATTAGTTACATGGTCTCAGAAGGAAAAACAAGAACATGTTAAGAGGCTCATGCCTCAGAATTGCTATGTGGACTCATGTACCTAAAGCATCGGAGACCCCCCAGAAGCACACAGCTGTAAATTGAGGGCACATAGAAATGCAGGTGGAGCTGGCTATGTGAGTAAGGGAAGGCTGTGTATGTGTGTTTGCTCAGTGGTCAGTTGTCCTTACTAGGGGCAAGCACTTTGAGACAGCACCTCTCCCTATTTTGGCTTGTAATATTGTAATATGTAGAAGTCCTTTTCACATCTGTGTGGTGGTGTTATTATTGTGAGTCTCTTCTCTGAAGATTTTTTTTTTGTTATAATTGTTTCAAGGATAATAATTCCCCTACAGGATTAATAACTGGAAAGCAGATCCTGAGGGTCACAACTCCCCAGGAGTGATAGAAGATATCTGCCAAGTATTATACAGTGAAAGAGCCATGAGCTCAGGTCAGAACGTTTAGCCAAGATATGTGATAACTTACAAATTTTCTCAAGAATATCTGCTAAGAAGATAAATCATTCTCTGGAGAAGGAAGCAGGGTAGAAGCTGAGGATTCAGAAGGAGTCCATTATAATTAAGATGTGAAAGGTGCCTCGGAATGCTTTGCTGGATTTTTAAAGACTGAGATTTATTTTATATACCATATGTCCTTACTTAAGTCATCAGTAAGTTCTTGAAAACCATGCCTTTAAAGGAAACGACGTGTGCCGAAACTGATTTTACCATAGACTGATATAAGCATATAAGCAAGAGTTAAGTTCTTACAGCATATTTCTACTCACAGAAGCATCACCAAACTTCTAAATAAAGACCCAAATACTTCTAATATTAAACATTGAAATAAAAGTGAGCTATACATACATTTAGGAAAGATTAATAAAAACCAGTAAGATAATTATTTTCAAACTCACTTTTTCCAGTTCAGGGTTACAGGTGGCGAGAGCCTATTCCTGCAGCTAATGGGGCAAGGCAGGAAACCACGTTGGACAGGTCATCCTTCTATCACAGGGCCACTCCCACCTACACCCGTCTCAGCTTGGGACAATTGAAATGTGCCAGTTAACCTGACATGCACAGCTTTGGGATGTGGGAGGAAACTGGAATCCCACACAGACATGGGGAGAACATACAAACTCCACATAGACAGTCACCCTGGCTGGGAATCATATATATATATTAATCAACATTATAATGAAATGATGTTAGAAAAAAAACAAGGTTTTTGGTAAATACAGTTGACCCTTGAACAACATGGGTTTGGACTATGTGGGTTCACTTATATGCAGAGTTTTTTCAATAAGTATGTATAGAGCTGTAAATATATTTTCCTTACTATTTTTTATAGCATTTAAAAATAATGTACAAAGAAGGTGTTAATTGACTATGTTTTAGGTAGGCTATTAGTAGTTAAGTTTTTGGGGAGTCAGAAGTTATACTTGGATTTTTGACTGTGCAGGGGTCAGCACCCTGAACCCACACATTACAGGTCAACAGTATTATATATAAAATTCAGAATTTATATATACATATATGTATATTCAGAAATTCCTGAGGTAGACTAAGATGGTGGTGGATTAGGTGGAAGCTACACTCATCTCCTCCCAGGACCAAACTGGAATTACAACTAAATTATAGAAAAATCATCCTGAATAATCAACTGAAGACTAGCTGGAAAGAAGCCTTATAACCAAGGACTTACAGAAGAAGCCATATCAAGACTGGTAGGAAGTGTGGTGGGGCAAGAGGGCTGGCCAGACTCTCATGGGTGGTAGCTGAAGTTTTGGAGGGATAGCTCAGCTGCGCAGAGGTGGGATTCCCCCTGAGAAGTGCAGGGTCTAAACCCTAAGCTGGGCTCCCCAGCCTAGAGCACCAGAACTGGGAAAGGAGCCCATATAACATCCATCTGTACAAAACAGCAGGGTTTCTGTCTACCAGGGAGAGACACAGGCACCCTCTTAAAGGACCAAACACAAAATTTCATTTGTAACCACTCACCCTGGGCTCTAGCGGAGGGAGGGCTGAGCAGACTAGAGCTGTGTGAGGAGAGTCTGAGGTGGTTGGTGGCTCTATGTAGAGAGCTGAAGGGTCAGCCACCAGGATCCCTGTGCTGAGCCATTCCTCCATACTGTAGAAGCCATCATTCTCGGGCAAGGCACTCCCATCATGTGGCATTGCCTGGTGGGGAAGCAATAGCCCCACCTACTGGAATGGCTCTTGCCCTACCCTGTGGAGCTTAAGCCTTGCTGAGGAGTATTGCTGGAGGCTCCTCCAGTGACTAAATCTAACAGGCGGAGGTGGATCTCTGGGTGCTTTCAGATATTTGCTGACCTGCCCCCAGGCCTGATGCTGGTAAAAGCTCACCTTGGAGCACAGTTTGGTACTTTCTTCACATATCCAGGCCCAGCAGAAGGAGCCACAAGCTGTGGATTACTGATAGCTCCAAACAGATTGTCCAGGGCCAGTCCCAGGCACTGTCTGAAATTGGCCTGCACCAGAGTGCCTCCAAAAAGGCCCAGAATCAATACACCCAGTGGCCAGCTTCAGACAACAACATAACAGGAGCCAGTAAGCTTCACAAGCAGCATATCCACAGGGAGATCTCAGCAGACAAATTCCTGCTGAGGCAAATTCCACTTGGTGTGATCAGCACCTGCACAGCAGCTTGCACACCATGGTCAGGGTTGAGCATCACAGTCAGCCAGCCTGAGGGCCAATCCCATGCACAAATGGGCCAATAGCAATCAAGATTCAGTTACAACAGGAGGGCCCACATTATGTACACAAGGGACATCCCTAGAGCACCCAGCTCAGGTGATCAGGGAGACTGTGCCACTGGGTCCCACAGGACACCTACATAAGGCCACCCTACCAAGACTGGGAGTCATCGCAGATCTATCTAATAAATAGAAACAAACAGAAGAGGCAGCCAAAATGGAGAGACAAATGGGCCCTAAATGAAAGAACAAGAGGGCTCTCCAGAAGAAGAGCTAAAAGCAGTTTATCAGAGAGTTCAAAGTCATGATTGTAAGGATGCTCAACAGCACAAAAAAAGACATAGATGCCATAATAAAGGACCAGTCAGAAATGAAGAATGCAATATCTGAGATCCAGAATACACTGGAAGGAATAAACAGTGGGTTGGATGAAGTGGAGGATCAAGTCAGTGATTTGGAAACAAGGTAGAAAAAAAACACCTGATCAGAGGAGCAAAAAGAAAAGAAAATTTTAAAAAATGAGCACAGTTTAAGGGACCTTTGGGACAACATGACACATAACGTCTGCATCATAGGGATACCAGAAGGGGAAGAGAGAGAGCAAGGAATTGAAAACCTATTTGAAGAAATAATGGCTGAAAACTTCCCTAACCTGGTGAAGGAAAAGACACAAGTCCAAGAAGCACAGAGAGTTCCAAACAAGATGGATCCAAAGAGACCTACACCAAGACACATCATAATTAAAATGGCGAAAGTTAAAGACAA